TGCCGACTGTCAGGGTTTAGGGTTTAGGGTTTAGGGTTTAGGGTGGGATGCCCGCTTGCAGGGGAGTCAACATACCGTTGCAAGATCTTGACAACTCTACCCATAGGCCCCATGGTAGTTCCTTTTTGGGGTTCATATTCAGAATCCTAGAAGGTAATCTCAACAAGGAGCTACTATGGGGCCTATGGGTAGGTGCTTGGAGGATGGGGGCCGGCTTTAATTACTTCACTTGGGAATATGAGGACTCAAAACTTTGCTCCCTCCCCTACTTGTTACTAAGTCTTCTGACCCTTAACCTTAAGGACGAAATGATCCCGAAAAGGGTTTCAGGTTCATATAAAATATAGGGATTCATAGTATAGGGGTATAGGGCCCATTACTTATAAGGGTCATTTGGTCCCCAAGGAACCCCCAAATTCCTAAACCCTGAACCCTAAACCCTAAACCGTTTCTGACCCTCGGAGTAAGGTCGGGCTACCAGGTGGCCTTAGGCCACACGACGGCTCTTGAGAACGAATCTCCACAACAAGCTTTTGCACGTCCCGAACTCCTGGAGTTGAGGGCTTAGTGCATAGGGTGTACTTGGAGGATCATGGGACGTAGTAACCAGGGTTATAAATAAGGTGACTATAATTATAACCCCAATTAGGGTACTTATAACCTTACTTACTAAGTCCCGTGATCCTCCGAGTCGGGTTTATACCCAGAGAGCCCAATACTGTGCATAAACCCTGAACCCGAAACCCTATCGGAAACTCGAATGGCCTGCTAGAAGCTCTCAAGCAACACTCTCTGCCCCAAACACCCTCCCAAAGATCAATGCCAAGCGCCAACTGAGCTTCAATGCTGTTTCGCTACCAAGATCACAGCAACGCGCAAGCTTCTTCACAGAAAACCTACGCTGAGTTGAAGAACCTAACAAATCTATACAATTACTATAGCATACTGCGATCATAATTAGTAGATAACCGATATGTGTATGTATGTATGTATGTATGTATGTATGTATGTATGTATGTATGTATGTATGTATGTATATATGTATGTATGTATGTATGTATGTATGTACGTATGTATGTATGTATGTATCTGTATATGTATATGTATATGTGAATACATATATGTATATACATATATGTATATACAGAAATGTATATACATCGAAGAAGCCGAAGTACCGAACCAATTTGGAGCCTGGGGCTCGGTCTTGCCGGTGGACCAGAGAAGCTGCATCTCCTGGAGGGTCTTGCGGGGTCTATGGCGTACCATAACGGTTTAGGGTTTAGGGTTGAGGGTTTACCCTAAGGCTCCATGTACCCATATAGGAGATACTTAAGCCTTAAAGTACCTATCTAGGGACCCCTTTAAGGCCTAAGTATCTACTCTGAAGGTACATGGAGCCTTTGGGTTAGGGTTTAGGGCATTCACAGAAAGAGCTCTCAGATCTCGAAATCTGCCCGAACTCGCTGCTCAACACTGACACTTTCTCCAGAAAAACGCGATCGCTTGTCTGCAGACGCGCCTCCAAGAACCGTGAAAGGTTTGTCACTGACGCAACATTGCTTTTCGCATCAGGGGGAACAGAACACTGTGGCAATACATGTTTATACCATGGTGGATTCCATGAAAGTGCGTGAAGATCCTGAGACGAAACTGGCCCAAAGCTCCTCGTGCGTTTCTTCCACGTGGATCGCACGATCCACTTCACCAAACTCCTGCCAGTGTTAACAATACCCCTTAAATAAGGAATATACCTTACTTTATAGGGACCTTAATATCATGATTTATGGTAGATATTCCTTGATTAAGGGGTATTGAGCTCTCTGGGTTCTCGTGGTGGCTAAGGACGGCACTTGAAATCGGAACCCAGGTGATGACCACGTGCAGGTGCCGGCGAGCCGCATAAACTGCTGTGCAAAGGTTCCAGAGATCGGAGCCTACAGAAGTCTTACGCAGATACCAATTATAAGTTCATATGAAGTATGAAACGATCACGAACAATCACTCCGAAAAACAGATTGTGACGTTCCCGAACCAAAGATGACACGTGGCAGCGAAGCTTGCCTCCTCTGTCATCAGCGTTCGTAGGCGCATGCGGTCCTCCGTTGAGCGGGCGCAAGCTGTAATTATATGCTACATTTCTCTTGACTTCTGTGCATCAATGCACGAGCTGCAGGAAAGGGTACAACTTCAGATATCAAACTCGCTCGCGGTTGTTTCGCCTTCCCCTCTGCTGGCAGTCCGACGGCACAAGGCTCTGTTTCCTTCGAAATGGACAGAACGGACCCTCTCAGCATTGCGATGCTATGAAAATCATATAAAATCAGCAAGCTGATTCCGCGAAGGAAAGGAAACGGCCCTGATTCAAAAGGTGTTCGGGAATGCTCCTAAATGGTTGTGTTGTGTGTGCATGCTTGCATGTATGTGTGTGTGTATGTATGTGTATATATATATATATACATATATACGTACATATAATACATATATATATATATATATTAACTTATTTATTTAGCTATCTATGTATATGTGTATCTCCCAAAGAAGTTCGAGCGGCAACTCCACAACAGTGCCAAGGGTCCCAGTTCAGCCGCCACTTATCGTAGTCATCCAGCTCACCGTCGTAGTAGCCTGCAGCCGCCGCAAGGGTAAATTTGGAGGTTCGAGAATGTTTGGATACCCTGACAGCAGCCTAAGCTGAGGATGCCCCGCTGCTTGCGGTAACACGTATAGAGCTTCGAGAAGTTGGTCCTGCTGCTGGATTGGGGTTCTACTGCAAGATCAAAAGATGTCGCTTCAGTGGCCCTGCACTGTGCAAAAAGTCCACGCGCTTCTTGCTGTAGGAGAACCCTCCTGGAACTCGACCTTACAAGTCTTTCTGCCGCTACGTGCGAACAAACTCACTGAAACCTACTTCTTGAAGCGGGTCGCCATTGACTAAACTGACCAAACCACACAACTGAACTTCTGAATCGCCATCCCCCTGCAAAGCAAACTACCCAGAGAGCCCAATACCCCTTAATTAAGCAATACACCTTAAATCATAGTATTAAGGCCCCTATAATGTAAGGTATATTCCTTATTTAAGGGGTATTGGGCTCTCTGGGAACAAGCAGAACAAACAGTCCGAATCTTGGACCCCAGACCGGAGCTACTCATCCGGAGGTGGATCTTGAGGCCGACAGCTGCGGCGATGGCGAACCTCTTCAGCATGCTCTTGAAGCGTTGTTCCACAGGATACAGTAATGTAGGGACCTTTAATAATTAGAATAGGTTTTGTGGGCTCCTTATTATAAATTCTAGTACAAGGGGCCCCAAAACCCTTTTCTAATTATTCCCTGAGGCTCCAAGTATACAACTACAGTACCTACTTTGGGGTCTAAAGTCTACAAATGGTACCTAATTTGGGCTATTTGGAGCCCTAGGGCTTAATCCACCCTAAACCCTAAACCCTAAACCCTAAACCCTAAACCCTAAACCCTAAACCCTAAACCCTGTATGAATTGGGGCCCCCATTGCAGAGCGTGTCGAGTCTTCGACCGGCGGGGCCTGAGGGTTCGGGAGATCCTCAATGCATTCCCACGTTCCGAACATTCTAAGGTTGAACCATGGGCCCCTAACATGGGCCCTTAGGGGATTCTAGGATCCCTTAAGGGTATATATAGGGCATATAGTAGGTATATGAGGGTCCCAGGGTTAAGGGCCCATACTAGGGGCCCATGGGTTCTACCGTAGAAAGATGCGATACCCATAGGCCCCATAGTAGTTCCGTTTTGGGATTACCTTATAGGATTAGGGTTTAGGGTTTAGGGTTTTAGGGTTTAGGGTTTAGGCCCCATAGTAGTTCCGTTTTGGGATTACCTTATAGGATTAGGGTTTAGGGTTTAGGGTTTTAGGGTTTAGGGTTTAGGGCCCATAGTAGTTCCCTTTTGGGATTACCTTATAGGATTCTAAATATGAATCCCCAAAAAGGAACTACTATGGGGCCTATGGATAGCTTCCCAGAGAGCCCAACTTACCCCTCAAATAAGGAATATATATATATATATATATAAAGCTATAGGGCTTTAAGGGGTCCATAAGGGTTTAGGGTTTAGACTAAGGTTTAGAGATATACCTTAAGTTATAGGGGCCTTAATACTATGATTTAAGGCGTATTCCCAGTTAATTGAAGGGTCTCGGGCTCTCTGGGGACTTCCATGAAACTCACACTCGGGCCTGCAGTTGAAGGTACAGTAACTCGAGTAGCGCCCATCTCATTCGGGCTTTCTTTTCGGATCCCGGGTTTTTTCAAATATCTAGGACAGTGAATGGCAATCCCGATTTGCTAACCGTACATTTCTGTTTGGGTGTGCGGCCCTAAAGGCCTGCAGGCAGAAGCATTTTGGCTTAGATGCTTTCGTCGGGGGAGGGTTCTTTCTACTCTTTGTCCGTGCATGGAACGACTTTGCTTGACTTTTCTTGGGCGGAGCGCTCTGTAGTGAAATCACAATCCTGGTCCTAGTCTCAGAACTTATAGACAACCCTAATAGACCCCAAACCCTAAACCCCAAAAAACATTACACCAAGAGTTATAGACACGAGCAACATGGCGGCCAAGCTACCGGACCACATCCATGCGGGCGTGGGAGGCCCTGTAATCGTCCTGTTAGCGTGGGGACGGGACACCCTAAACCCTAAACCCTAAACCCTAAACCCTAAACCCTAAACCCTAAAGGCTTGGTGGTGCGATCACCCCTGGAATCCCCAAACCTGAGCCGTGCAGAGGCTTTTGACATATCTACTGTACCTACTATCTATAAACAGTGTGCATGCATGCATGCGCAGATAGATAGACATATATATATATATATACATGTACACATATATGTATGTATATCTATATATATATATATATATACACGTGTATATACACATACATGCATGCAAGCAAATATGCGTGCATACTTACATGGACCCATGTACACACACAGACACACATGCATGCATGCAGACAGACGGACAGACAGAGCTGACAGACACAGACAGCCAAAGACAAACAGAGACAGACAGACAGGCGTCCATGCTTGCTTAAGGCACAAACTCTACAAACGAAGCAGGGTATCCACCAGGCCGGGAAAATGTGTGGGAAATCAAGGGCATCATGTCACAAATCGCTGTTGACACCGCTTGCAAGACACGAAATCATCGGGAGTTGCCGCACGGCCAGACAGCTAGGCCGCACGGGAGTATCTATGAGGACCCCTGCCCCCAAACGTCACAAGCCTGCGCACTCTTATAAGGCACCAGTGCCAAAAACTGCAAGCCCGGATGCAACCTGCTGCTTGAGACCATAAACCATTCGAGAGATCGCCCCAAAGACACCAATAGCACTGGGTACCAACCTTGCTTCAATCATTGCAATGCTGTGGTGCATCTCGAATCCCCATGCCAGGACAGTGCAACCATCATTAAAAGTCTGCAACAGACTAAAGTGAAGCGACGAAGGCACCCAGAGACTCCAAAACTCCTTAATTCAGGAATATACCTTAATTATATTAGGATTCCTATTATAGTTTAAGGTATATTCGTTAATTAAGGGGTTTTGAAGTCTCTGGGCAGTAAGTCTGATCAGATCAGAGCCTCGTCATCCAAGCTCTGCTTCCACGGAAGGTTGAAGCCATCCTCTCCACACCTGACACTGCGACGGCAGGTCCGTTTGCATAGGCCCCATAGTAGTTCCTTTTTGGGAGTACCTTACAGGATTAGGGTTTAGGGTTTAGGGTTTCGGGTTTTAGGGTTTAGGGTTTAGGGCCCATAGTAGTTCCGTTTTGGGAGTACCTTATAGGATTCTAAATATGAACCCCCAAAAAAGGAACTACCATGGGGCCTGTGGGTAGGCATTTGATGGCTTGACGGGTTCCTCGAGGCTTTACGACCCCAGCAGGCTACGGTTACTCATAATAATAGGGTTTAGGGTTTAGGGTTTAGGGTTTAGGGTTTAGGGTTTAGGCTTGAAGTGCAAAAGTTCATGAGCGAGCGCTGCTCTGAAGCATGATATATCACACTGCAGCATGGAGGCGGTGATCTACAACCACCCGACATGAGCAAGAGGTATGATCCCTGCGGCCGTGATGCCTGCGGTTCCACAGGTACTGGCCCTGCCCTCCTCGTTGAGACTTTCGGATTTTGGAGCCAGCGAAGTGTCCATCCAATAGGGGCCTTAATGATTAGAATAGGGTCTTCGGGCCCATTATACTATATTTACAATAAGGAAACCCAAAAAATCGTAGAGGTAATTAAAAAAGCCCCCACAGCATCCAATGTCTCTCGACCTCCAGGAAAGGTTTGGGATGATCAGCTGGTACTTGGAAGATCATGGGACTTGGTAAGTAAGGGTTTAGGGTTTAGGGTTTAGGGTACATGGAGGATCACGGGACTTAGTAAGTAAGGTTAGAAGTACCCTAATTGGGGTTATAATTATAGTTACCTTACTTATAACCCTAGTTACTAAGTCCCATGATCCTCCAAGTAGTTTCTGGATTCTGGAGGCTCCTGTAGGTCTCATCTCTGGAAAATGTGGCAACCTGGTTGTGTCGTTGCAGTCTCCGGGTTAGGGTTTAGGGTTTAGGGTTTAGGGTTTAGGGTTTAGGGTTTAGGGTTTAGGGTTTAGGGTTTAGGGTGCCTAGACTGGGTCCGAACCAATGGGGACGGGACATGCTAAGTTTGACCTCGAGCCTGACTATTTCTGACGCCTGGGATGCCTCCGCTGCTGTGAGGTGGGGCAGGCAAAGGCCCAGAGACTCCAATCTCCCTTAATTAAGGAATATACCCTAAATTATAGTAGGATCCCTAATATGATTTAATTAAGGTATATTCCTTAGTTACGGGATATTGGAGTCTCTGAGGGCCTTGATTCCCCGAGTGCCCTTGCTCAGGTCCTCGGAAGAGGCCGCAGGCCAACATCACCACCGATCGCAGGTTCGAGTAAAACTCGACCTGAGCTGCCGCAAACCCTAAACCCTAACACCCTAAACCCTATAAGCACTAAACCCCAAAACCTAAACCCTAAACCCCTAAACCCTATAAACCCTAAACCCCAAAGCCTAAACCCTAAACCCTAAACCCAAAAAAACAAATCCCTAAACCCGAAAAGGCCTGTCCATCGCTCCAAGGCTTGACGCTCGCCTTCCCTTGTAGCACGCGTACTTCCGAGAAAGGGGGATAAAGGAGGCTACTTGGAGGATCATGGGACTTAGTAAGTAAGGTTAAAAGTACCCTTATTGGGGTTTTAATCATAGTTACCTTATTTATAACCCTATGATCCTCCAAGTAGGGTTTAGGGTTAGGGGTTTAGGGTTTAGGGTTTAGGATGAAGGGGGCTAGGGCTGGTTTGGACTCTGGCGTTTGTCTCGGGTGGCTTGACGCAGCTACTCCCTGGATATGTTTTTGCCAAGACTCTGCATGCATCCGCCCCTCCCAGTATCGCTTGTAGGACGAGTTGGCGCGGAAGACGATGAGAAAGCAGAGGCACTTGCCTCTGCAATTCGGGGCTCTCCAGTCGAGATTTCACTGCCCCGTGGCAGCCCAAGTATATCTACAGTTCACGCTTCGGATTTCAGGCTTGACGTCCTTATGTGCATTTTTTCTGCCCCGACAAGCCCAATGCTAGCATGGTAGCTGCATGCCGCCATGCGACCCCAAATCTCGCTGTGCTTGAAGGCGTTCCCGAAGTTCATGTCGAGGAACTCTTCCTTTGGCAGCAGAGATACAGGTAGCCTAGCTCAGGCCCCCGCATTTTTGTTTACGCTTTTTCCGGCACTTGTGGTGGTGGTGGTGGTGGTGGTGGTGGTGGTGGTGGTGCTGGCGGTGGCGGTGGTGGTGGTGGTGGTGGTGGTGTGGGGTGCAAAGGGTGGGGTTCGCTAGGAATAGCTTTGGACATGGTTTCAAGTTCAAACAACTTTCAAATAGAAATCCCTGAGTAAACAGACACGCACAGTGAATAAAGTTCAAACAACTTTCAAATAGAAATCCCTGAGTAAACAGACACGCACAGTGAATAAAATTCAAACAACTTTCAAATAGAAATCCCTGAGTAAACAGACGCGCACAGTGAATAACTTGTGACAAATAACTTGGAAATAGTTTGAAATAGTTTGAGGCCCAATCCGCCTCCGAACAGACATGACACCCCTGCACAAAAAAACGACGCCGTGAGTAAAGAAGCGCCCTAAACCCTAAACCCTAAAACCCTAAAGCCCTAATTAAACCCTATAAACCCCTAGCATCAGCCTGACTCACGCGGTTCCTGCTTCCGCAAACGGACATGACGAGGATCAACCCATGCCCTGGTGTCGGCCCCATAATATACGGGCCTTCATAGTTAGAATAGGGTGTTGGGGGTTCCTTTTAAAGGGTTCCGTAAAGGCTTCTATAAGGGCTGCTATAAGGGTTTAGGTGTAGGGGCCTTAACAGTTAGAATGGGGTTTGGGGGGTATATTATACTATAGTTACAATGAGGAATCTCCAAAATAGTATCGGTAGTTATTTAGGCCCCTCTCTTACCCGGGTGCTCGTTTCTGCCGACACGGGAGAAGGTGCAAAGGCAAAATCAGCCGAGCTCCCTCATGCCTGGTCCTCCCACGACTGGCAACCAAGGTCGAAAAGCAGCATCATGAGGGTTTAGGGTTTAGGGTTAACCCTAAACCCTAAACCCTGACCCCTAAACCGTATCATGAGCACCAGCTCCTGGCCTCGTTTCAATCAGCTGGCTTGTCCCTGGGCCTGGCGCCGGTTTAGGGTTTAGGGTTATCGGATCAGTTTGCTAGCATCGCCAGCATCAGCAGCGCTTCCGCGTTTGCCCTGATGCCCGACACCGGCGAGCAAAGGTTGGGCTCGTCGATCCGGCAAAAAAGGCGGCTAGCTTACCCTAAGGGTCCATGTACCCAAATAGTATATACATTGTACCTATATAGGGACTACATTAAGGCCAAAGTATATACTATTTGGGTACATGGACCCTTAGGGTTATGTCGATTTGTAGGAACCTGTGCCACCACACAGCATGCTCGTCAGCAAGCATCTAGGCCACATTTTGTTTCGGGTTCGAGCTGCAATTTCTCCCTCCACCAGAACAAACAAACACTAAGCCTTTTGCGTTGTCGAGGCTTTAAAATCCGGTCTTCGATGCCCAAGTGTCGAGAAGAAAAGCCGCCACCAGGTAAACAAAGAAGAGGCCCAGCTTGTTGCAGCAGGCCTGCGATAAGACTGTGCTTGAGGGATATGGGACTTAGTAACTAGAGTTATAAATAAGGTGACTATAGCTATAACCCCAATTAGGGTACTTATAACCGTAATTACTAAGTCCCATGATCTTCCAAGTGCTGCTACTGGGTTTGAGTGGTGTTGTTCTTGGGGTCTTTGTTTGGCATTGCGATGCAAACGCAAACAGACTCAAGGACAAAACACGTAAATGCCGTAGATGCACTGCCAAGCTAAAGCATGCGTGCATAATCTGAATCATGAACAGATAAGCAAAAATACAAATGGTACCATGCTTCATGTGCTAAAGAGATCCCATGAGCAACCGCGCATACTGAGCAGCTCATGATTCGAAGGGACTCACGCATGAGATGTCCTGTCAACACACCAGACTTCATCCCTAGAATAGGCTTGCCATCTCGGAGCCACCGAGTGCTTCCCCTAAACCCCAAAACCCTTAAGACTCTATAACCCCCAAAAACCTAAACCCCTGTAAAGCTCAAACTGCAAGCCGGGCTGCCTGGATGGTCGTTCCCTCCCATCGGAAGATGACGTCGGTCCAAGACGCGGCATTGTACCAAATCATGCGATTGCGAAAAAAGGGATCCCTGACCCCGACTAAGTCTGACAACGTGCTCCTATAACTCGGCGCGAGCGCACGATGGTCACTGATGTAGTTAAAAACCCAATTACAGGCCGCCCCATTCGGGCAAGTGGCTGCGAATCCAGACAGTTCTCACTGAAACCGAGATGCAAAGCTCCAGTTGTTGACAGGAGAGGGTTCTTGAACTTTCATGTTGCGTGGGCTTGAATAGGGGCCTGAATCATTAGAGTAAGGTCTTGGGGATATTATACTAGAGTTAATAAACATTTAGTTATATTATCCTACATTTATTAATGATTAGAATATATATATATATATATATGATATACTAAAGTTATTAATGATTAGACATGAATGATAATGATTTTGTTAGTTGTCTATGGTTAGAAATGTATTGGGTGTCAGCCTGTGGGCTGCAAGTCTCAGCGTCGGCGAGGTCACATTGCCCTGGGTGTCTCTCAGCTGGAGCCGAGATGACCGGCGGCAGTCAGACTCAAAGCCATCTCCCAGGGTGTCGGGTTTAGGGTTTCAGGCTTCGGATTTAGGGTTTTGGGTTTAGGGTTTCGGGTCTAGGGTTTAGCGTTTCGGCTTTAGGGTTTAGCGTTTCGGGTTTAGGGTTTAGCATTTCGGGTTTAGGGTTTCGGGTTTCTTGCACCTTCCTGAAAGGGCCGGCATCGTTGCTCTTAGCCGTTCAGACCCATGTTGACTCCGGGAACCCTCAATCCTCAAAACCCTGTAACATGGGGGCCTTCATAAATAGAATAATAGGGTTTTGAGGGTTCCTTTAGAAGGGTTCCTTAAAGGGTTCCAGAAGGGCTACTACAAGGGTTTAGGCTAGGTTTAGGGTATAAGGGCCTTAATAGTTTCAATAGGGTTCTAGGGTATTTAGGCTATAAAAAATAATAAGGAACCACCCAAAAAAAGGTATTATTGGTAATTCTGTAGGGCCCCTCTATTAGATGAGCTGAGACTAGGACACGAGGCACAAAGGATTTTCCAGTAGAGTTTTGAGTCAGGCATATCGCTCCTTGGAAGTTGTTCAAAGGCTCCGTTTCTATGGGACTCTGTTGATAGGGTTTAGGTTTAGGATTTAGGGTTTAGGGTTTAAGGTTCAGGGTTTCGGTAGTAGGGCTAAGAAGGGTCCCCTTTCAGGGGTCTCCCTAATACTACCTAGGAGTTGAGGCCTCGCAGAAACCTCAGACTTACACTAGACCTATAGTCTCCATTGTAGTTCCTTTTTGGGGATACCTTATAGCATCCTTAATATATATTTGGTTAAACCGAAAAAAGGAACTACAATGGAGACTATAGGGAACCCCTATTCAACCGTTCCAGACCAGAAAATGCTTCAGGACGGAAGCAGATAAACCCAGGAACTCCTGCGACCAAGAATCGCCTTGATTACGATGCACTTACTTGGAGGATCATGGGACTTAGTAAGTAAGGTTATAAGTACCCTAATTGGGGTTATAATTATGGTTGCCTTATTTATAACCCTAGTTACTAAGACCCATGATCCTCCAAGTACTACACCTTACTTCGAACAATCGTTGCGAAGATCGTGCCTATGGCTTATAGAGCTTGTGGCACAGGCAAAAGGGTTTCCGGGGGGTGGGGGGGGGGGGTAGCAGAGCCGTTGCACCTTGTCGGCCACCTCTGCGCTGACGGCTTCCTGGCACAGGCTCCACTGCTCATGCTACGAGGTGCTGCTGGGCTTGTTGCACTATCAACACGAGATGGGTTTGGTCTGAGACTGAAGAGAGGCAAGCACGCGTGAAGGGTCAGGCAGAAACCGCTGAAACATCTTCCTTGCTTCACACTGCTCTTCCAGTTCGCCCGCTCGTGCAATCGCGGCCAGAAGCTTTGCATCAAGTCCGTAAACACAGGGGGCTTAACTCTTCAACGCCGTACCAAAAGTTAACCGCACACAGGATATCCTGATCCCTTTGCAGGACCCTCCAAAACCGCCCTCACTTGGAGGATCATGGGACTTAGTAACTAGGGTTATAAATAAGGTAAGTATAAGTATAACCCCAATTAGGGTACGTATAACCTTACTTACTAAGTCCCATGACCCTCCAAGTACAGAATATCAATTCGCCACGCCTTCAGGTAGGCGCGGATGTTGGCCTGTAGGGCCAGATCTGAAACTTTTTGTGAGATTCTGTGAGGACTCTGCAGCTTCTCAGATGATTAGGGTGACTAGAGACACCCCAAACCCTAAACCCCTGAACCCTCAACCCTAAACGGAGCCTTAGTATGCCTTCAATCATATTAAGGCCCCGATAACTTAAGGTCTATTCCTTACTTAAGGGGTATCGGGCTCTCTGGGAATCGCTACACCCACACCTGGGTCTCCTCCGCCTGCTCGGGTGTGGCAACCTTGCCGGTTCCGATGGCCTCGGAAAGGGTTTAGGGTTTAGGGTTTAGGGTTTATCGCTTATAGGGCTTATAGGGTTTAGGGTGTATAGGGTTTAGGGTTTATAGGGTTTTGGGTTTAGGGTGTGAGGTTTAGGGTTTAGGGTGTTGGGTTTAGGGTTGAGGGTGTAGGGTGTCGGGTTTAGGGTTTAGGGATGGCTCTCTTTAAAGCTGTGTCCTCTGAACTTTCAGCTGGAATTCATGTCAGCTGTCAGCTGAGATCACTTATCCCCGACATTCGCCCAAAGACCTGAACCGTTTTCGTTGTAGTCCTCTTGGGTGAGAGCTTATGGAGTTTAGGGCCCGGGCTTAGGATTTCTAGAGTTTAGGCGAAGGTGGGGCGGGCCCCTTGAGATAACACAGAGACATCCAATGCACCACAAGAGGGGCAGTGCACGCCAAGACGCCCAGACCGGCTCGTAGGCGATCACAATGTTGTCCTGCCGAAAAAACTGTAGCTTAAGCCTGCCAGACATGATAATATACAGATACCCAGAGAGCCCAATACTCCTTAATTAAGAAATATACCTTAAATCATAATACTAAGGCCCCTAAAAATTTAAGGTAGACGCCTAAACACTAGACCCTAAACCCTTATAGATCCCTTTAAGGGCTCCTATAATAACTTAAGGTGTATATATTCCTTATTTAAGGGGCTAAGTTGGGCTCTGTGGGGAACCCTCCATATAATTATAGTATGATGGGTCCCAAAACCCCATTGAAAATTATTAAGGCCCCCTACATCCTCAACCCTATAACTTAAGGTATCTTCCTTATGTAAGGGGTAGGTTAAACACTAAACCCTAAACCCTAAACCCTAAACCCTAAAAACCCTGCTCTGGGCAGCAGTCCCAGTTCTTAAAGAAACCGCCAAACCCTATTCTGTAAGGAACCCCTTAAAGGAACCCCCAAACTCCCTTATTTAATGGGGTAAGTTGGGCTCTCTGGGCAGCAGTCCTCCAAATACCCTAAACCCTAAACCCTATGAGCCCTATGAGCCCTATAGACCCTAAACCCTAAAAACCCTGCTCTGGGCTCTGCAGTCCCAGTTCGTGATCTTCGGGATCACCGCGGCGAGCTGACGCTTGTTCACCTCACGGTAACGTAGGGGCCTTAATGGTTAGAATAGGGGTTTAGGGTTTTGGGAGTTCCTTTAAAGGGTTCCTTATAAGGAGTTCTATAAGGGCTACTATAAGGGTTTAGGGTGTAGGGGCCTTGATGGTTAGGATAGGGGTTTGGAATTTAGGGGTTCCTTTAAAGAGTTCCTAAAAGGGTTCTATAAGGGATACTATAAGGGTTTTAGGGTATAGGCATAGGGGCCTTAATAATCAGAATAGCTTTTTTCTTTTTGTTTAACGGGCCCTTAAAAGGGTCTACAAGGGTTACTATAAGGGCTACTATACCGGTTCAGGGTTTAGCATTATAATAAATAGAATAGGGTTTGGGGTTTATTATACTATACTTCCAATACGGAATCCCCAAAATAGCATTGGTAAGTATTCAAGCCCCTACATTAAGCTTCAAGCGGTGCATCTTGTCTGGCTAATCCAGCCGTCGCGGCTCGACGAGTCAAGGTGTCCACACTGTCTGCAGCATGGGCTGCCAGAGTGAAGCCAGCCCTATTAAACCCGATTAAACCCCATTAAACTCTATTAAAACCCTATCAACCCCTACAGGATCACAAAGCCCGGCCTCGTCCGTCTTGCCGGCCTCCCGCTCCTCGAGGAGCTCGCCGATGCAGAAGATCACCTGGCAAGAAAGAAAAGTGAATAGGGTTTATAGGTTTTAGGGTTTAGGGTTTAAGGGTGTAAGGGTTTAGGGTTTGAGGGTTTTAGGGTTTAGGGTTTGAAGGTTTTAGGGTTTAGGGTTTTAGGGTTTAGGGATTTAGGGTTTCAGGGTTTAGGGTGTAAGGGTTTAGGGTTTATGGGATTTGTTTGGGGCTTTTGGTTCGGAGTTAGGGTTTTTTTTAAGGCATATAGGGCCTCATTAGGGGTCTAGGGCATGAGGGCTCGAGGCTTTAGAGCTCTTGTGTTTAGGATTTAGGGTTCACTGTTTGAGACGTCATCTTTAGGATAGGGGACTGGTTTTTGCCAGCATTCCGAATCGCATCATACCAAGTTTCATGTTGAGGATAATGCCGATGCCAGCACGAGTTTTCAGACTCAGTACTCACTGTGTCAACTATGGTGTCAGTCGGAAATCTTTTGGTTTGCAGTATTCTCTAGGCATGCAGCGGGATCTTATAAGGCAGCAGACACTGGCCTCTGGGACAAATCACAGTTTCGTAGGGGTATGTGCACCTGCGTACCTGACACACGTTTAGAATCGTGCCTCTCGCTCTGCCAGGCCTTACAAGGTTTGTGGAGGAGGGACATAGTGTAAGAGTGTATTTCAAGTCTGTTTTCTTGGAGAGAAGAAGAGTTTGTTGGAGAAGTGAAGCCGAAGGAGTTCTTGTTGCCGAGCCCTGGCCCGTCGAACAACAGCCAAGGTTTGACGCAACTCATCCCTCGAAAAATCAACCCGCCCTCCCTACGTGCTTGTAGGGGCTCCCTTAAACTTGAAACCTTTCGCTGCACCAATCTGAAAAAACCTCAACAGCCTGTCAACTTGAAAGGGTGGAGCCTTGATCCCGGCTGCCTGGCACTTCTCCACCTTCACAGCCGTGTCCTGTTTGAGGCAGAGTCTGCAAGGCCAGATTGCTCAGGGCTTGTTAGGATTTAGGATTTAGGGTTTACGTAGGGTTTAGGGTTTAAGGCTTAGGGTTTAGGGTTTAGGGTTTAGAGTTTAAGGTTTAGGGTTTAGGGATTCTCTTTGGGAGATATAAGACTCTCATGAGACTCCTACACATTGGCAGAAAGCTCCGTTTCGGAGCTGCAAGACTCCAAGCTGCCAATATGGTCTCCCTCTTCAGGTGATTCCGACAAACCTTAACTCCCTAGAGACTCCAATATCCCTTAATTAAGGAATATACCTTGAAACATAGTAGGATCCCTAATATGATTTAAGGTATATTCCTTAATTAAGGGAAATTGGAGTCTCTGGGTCCTGTCTTTTCGATGGCCCCGCCCCCTCGGGATATGGGCGGGCTTCTTCTTTGTTCTCATTGCCACCCTCCTCCATGGGACAATTTCGTGATCTCTTCTTAGAAACTGAAATTGGTAGGGATCCGCACCATGTGAAATCTTCAAAGCTGCAGAGCAAGCGGGGACAGACAACAGTCTTGTGATACAGGTTCCGGAGATCCGGAGAAATCAACAAACAAGCACCACATCGAACAGAGTGATCCTGTTCGCGGAACTCCATTGCAAGGGCGAAAGCGATGATGTACGGAGCAATGCCAAAATAGCAGAGCTCCGGAGCAATCCGACCGCCCCGTACCAATTCTTCGGGTTTCCTAGAAGCTGCCTCAAGCTACAGGTCAAGGGAAGAGCAACATAGTATGACCTTGTGATCCGAACGACATCCTAAAACCCAAACGCGACACCTTGGGGACCCTTCTCCCTCAGTCCTGCTTAGAAACTCGTGGTCTCTCTTAAAACGAACCAACACCCATGTGATCAGAGAGCCGATTGTGGTTGCCCAGAGAGCCCCACTTACCCCTTAAATAAGGAATATATCTTAAATTATAGGGGCCTTAATATGATGATTTAAGGTATATTCCTTAATTAAGGGCCCTAAACCCTAAACCCTGAATCCCCAACCCTAAACCCTAGGATTTAAGGTATATTCCTTAATTAAGGGGTATTGGGCTCTCTGAGTTTGAAGATCTCCAGAATCCTGCCATCCCTGTCCACCCTACGGGTTTCCTGCCCCTCGATTCGGCTATTTAGGGTTTACTTGGGGGGATCATGGGACTTAGTAACTAGGGTTATATAACTAAGGTAGCTATAATTATAACCCCAATTCGGGTACTTATAGCCTTACTTACTAAGTCACATGATCCTCCAAGTAAGGTTTAGGGAGCAGGTTGCTTGTAGGCCTCCGAGCAGATTTAGGGGTGCTGCTTCATCGCTTGATCGGAGCCTTGTGCTGCTGAGGCCCAGCTCAATCCCCAAGCAAACGGAACCCTAAACCCTAAACCCTAAAAACCCTAAACCCTAAACCCCACCCTAAGACAACCCGACCTGATGGAAGCTTTGTCCGGAGCCCTCGAATGCCACACTCAGCTTCTGCCGCCTCGTCGGATTCGCCATACTTGCTTCGACGTTCCGAGTGGCCGATGAGGGTATATGGCACCTCCAACTGTCTGAGCCCGGACGCTGTCAGTAAGCGTTGGGTATACTGCCCCCATACAGTAACAGTCTATAATAGGGCTACTATATTAAGGGCCTAATATATCCATAATATAAATATTATCCAACTGTTAATGAGTGGGGGCAGTACCCAAAGTAACCGTTTTGAGTCCTGAAGCTGTCAATTGGGAACTCTTCGAGACTTTGGGTCTCAAACCGGGGCCCCACGAGAGGCTTATGCTGGTTACAGAGGGTTCATACAAGATCTCAGCCACCAAACCACGATAGCATTCGACAATCTTCATAGCAGCTGGAGGTCTAAGATCGGAGCTACATCACCAGGCACCCTCCCTGAAGGACTTGTGGAGTTTGAGACTGGGCTTGAGGGAGTTTAGGGCGTAGGGCTTGAGTCTGGGGTTTGGGTTGCAGGTTTAAGGATCTCTTGCGAGTAAGCTGTTCGAAGCAGCAGGCACAGCGCTCTGAACATGGCAAATCCAGGATATCAATGAGGGGTCGAATTTCTGCTGAAGGTACCCACTGAACGGCCACATGATACTTCCAGAAAGCCTGAGGCATGCACAAAAAGATACTAAACCTCAGATCCAAGGCCTAAAATTCATAACTTACCCATGCGCAAGCCCGCAAACGTCAAGACACCCGGAACGGCAGAAGGCAGCAACCAACCAAACAATTGAAGGAGCCTCCATGTCCTGCAGATGCACGGCCTTGGCAAAGGTATATTCCTTTTTTTTGGGTTGAGGTATTCGGCTCTCTGGGTACTGAATCTCAGAAAGAGCTCAGATTCGATTGATCGGAGCGAGGAGATTACGGGGGACTTCTGGAGAAGCGCCGAGCAGGCCCTGCGCCGCCGCAATGTAAGAGGGCAACATTCGCCCTACAGATGTTCCTACTTGGAGGATCATGGGACTTAGTAACTAGGGTTATAAATAAGGTAACTATAAGTATAACCCCCA